ACACAGTGTAATGTTACAAGGGACAGAGATCTAAGAATGATCCTCTTGCTGGCAGATAATTCTCACTCACACATACAAAGACAGCAGAACTGCAGGAGATAAGTGTAAGGCTTTGTCTACATTGGCACTTTTGTCATTAAAAGTTTTGTTGCTCAGAGGTGTGAAAAAACACTCCCTTGAATGACAAAAGTCTTAACGATGAAAAGCACTGGTGTGGACAGTGCTTCGCTGGTTGGAGCCACGCTTATGGCGATGAACCTACCGCCCGTCGTTGGAGGTGATTACAATGGCGTGGCTGCAGCGGCACAGCAGCACCATTGTAAGGTGAGCAGTGTAGACACAGTCAAAGGTACAGGGCAGAACAGTAATTTAACAAAGTTGGTAGTTCTGAGTAGTACTTAACATGAGGAGTAGAGTTGAAGCAAGACAACAACAGAAAATTAACCATTAAACAATGAATTTCCACAAAGATATGATCATAGAATATTAGGGTTGGAAGAGACCTCAGGAGGTCATCTAGTCCAACCCCCTGCTCAAAGCAGGACCAATCCCCAACTAAATCATCCCAGCCAGGGCGTTGTCAAGCCTGACCTTAAAAACCTCTAAGGAAGGAGATTCCACCACCTCCCTAGATAAACCATTCCAGTGCTTCACCACCCTCCTAGTGAAAAAGCTTTCCTAGCAGCCAACCTAAACCTCCCCCACTGCAACTTGAGACCATTGCTCCTTGTTCTGTCATCTGGTACCACTGAGAACAGTCTAGATCCATCCTCTTTGGAGCCCCCTTTCAGGTAGTTGAAAGCAGCTATCAAATACCCCCTCATTCTTCTCTTCTACAGACTAAACAATTCCAGTTCCCTCAGCCTCTCCTCATAAGTCATGTGCTCCAGCCCCCTAATCATTTTTGTTGCCCTCCGCTGGACTTTTTCCAATTTTTCCACATCCTTCTTGTAGTGTGGGGCCCAAAACTGGACACAGTACTCCAGATGAGGCCTCACCAATGTCGAATAGAGGGGAACAATCATGTCCCTCGATCTGCTGGCAATGCCCCTATTTATACAGCCCAAAATGCCGTTAGCCTTCTTGGCAGCAAGGCCACACTGTTGACTCATATCCAGCTTCTCATTCACTGTAACCCCTAGGTCCTTTTCTGCAGAACTGCTGCCTAGTGATTTGGTCCCTTGTCTGTAGCAGTGCATGGGATTCTTCCGTCCTAAGTGCAGGACTCTGCACTTGTCCTTGTTGAACCTCATCAGATTTCTTTTGGCCCAATCCTCTAATTTGTCTAGGTCCCTCTGTATCCTATCCCTATCCTGCAGCGTATCTACCACTCCTCCCAGTTTAGTGTCATCTGCAAACTTTCTGAGGGTGCAGTCCACGCCATCCTCCAGATCATTAATAAAGATATTGAACAAAACTGGCCCCAGGACCAACCCTTGGGGCACTCCGCTTGATACCGGCTGCCAACTAGACATGGAGCCATTGATCACTACCTGTTGAGCCCGACGATCTAGCCAGTTTTCTATCCACCTTATAGTCCATGTAGACACGTTGTGGCAATTTGATTAGTAAACCAAGTCTGTATGGGCAACCTAGGTTTCATCAACAAGCATTCCAGCTGGTTTTGTCACCACACTGCTCTATGCCATACTAGTATCTTTCGCAGCTTTGAGTTTCACCAAATCTTTTACAATATTTAAATTGCTAATTATTTTTTTCACAGATAAAATCTTGAAAATATAATGTATTCAGTAGACATGAGCACATTTGAACTTTCTATCCTGGGGGGAAATTCCAACACTTCAACACTTGTTTTCATCATGAAAAGGGACAAACTGAAATTTTAATGGAACAGAAATTCTGAGTTTAGATTCAGAAATGTCAAGACGTTGTGGCACTGTTCCACTTTGTAGAAATAAATAAATATTCATAACCTGCTAATAACCTGCATGAAATTCACTTTTATATACATATTACTAGAAAAATTCCTGAGGAAGGACTAGATTTTGGCATTCAGCCATAGTCTTGAGTGGGAGGCACCATCCCTCTCTGAGCATTCTTCCCCCTTATGGCTGGACGCACTTGCCTTACAGGTCTCTAGAAAGGGGGCAATTACCCTTTCTGGGGTGATAGCTGCAGGAATAGTAGCTTGAAAGGAGTTTGCTGTTGAGGGAGAAAAGGGGATTGATAGGGAGAGTTCCATTCCGTTTTTTAAGACGCCAGTTCATCTTTTGGTCCTTGTATGTAATTCCCATCAATGTTAATGGCTTATCATCCAGGGGAGCATGAGTCCCTTGCAATGTTAACTAAAATGGAATGCAGGCCCATCTCCTAAGTAATGTCTGTTTGGTACCTGCTGCAACCCATGTTTGGAGGTGAGGAGGGCTACCATTCTAACCAGACTAGTCCTGAGGATCAATTTAGAGCAGCCTCAGGTCTTCTCTAAATTGTGTGAGCAGTGTTGTTCCTCAAGGGGCTATTCTGGTAGCCAGTGCTCACTGGAGCACAACAGTACTTTAGCCCTGCCTCCTCTTCCTTAGCCAGTCCCCCTAATCAATGTTGTCTAGAGCAGGTGGAGGAGAGCAGACAATGAGGGCTGTATGCCACCCAGAGATTCCTGTATGTTAGGAGGACTCCAAATTGACAGTTAAGATGGTGCTGAGGCTATTTTACACTCTGAGAATGGAGAGTGAATGAATGAAGAAGCCTTTACCAGATCCAGGATGTGGCACACAATTTTTAATATAAAACTCATAAAGATCAATCTTAGGTTTAAAGATTGTTCTAAATATAGCTATATTCACAGAGCATTAAATAGGTAAATTACAAAATTAAACTGTATGTGAGCAGTTAAATTAATTAGATTGTGAAATTCAATTGTTTTACAACATATCATTTAGTTTGGATGTTTTCATTCATACCATAAGTACAGTTGAGACTTAGTTATGTTCTCATCAAACCAGTAATGTGAAGCTAGGAAGCTCTTCTAAGCAATAAGCCAGGTAATTTAGTAAGCCACGTAAAGTGAGATCAGCACTACACATGCGCCATGTGAACAATAACTCTGGCAGTTACATGTGAAAGCATACAGTTTAAATCAGCACCAAAACAGTTTTGTTACAGTGGTGTTACATTCAAATCCTATAATCCATTCCAGTTTTGTTTTTAGAAGAATTTTCCCCAGTCTGAAGCAGTTTTAAGGCTGTACTACTTTTACTATTTCTAGCATAATTATTTTCTTTTGTAGCATTTGAAATTAGGATCTTTTTCATAGTTGGATGGAAGTTGTTGGTGTTATATGACCTGGGTACTTTTCAGTTAACACCACCTACCAGCCCCCAAGAGTCGGGTTTTAGGGAACAGAACTGAACTCCAATGGGTTAGTGTTCTAGGAAAGCAATAATTATGCTCGCCAAGACCAACTTCCATGAAGCTCAGAAATTCCCTATGGAATTTTAGCAATAACAATTGATTTCCTAAACTTTTGTGAACTTTTCAGTAGCTGGAATTTCTGTAATCTTCTTCATGGCAGGATTTAGGATTTTCTCTTGAGGGAAACTTAGAATCATTGGAGCAAGGGGTGGGTGGGTGCTCTAAGCACAGGACTATAGGGTCATTTTCACTCTCTGTCTGGCTTAATGACTCTTGGTATTTATACACAGTGGAACTACTTCACTAGGACCGATTGAGAAACCCACATCAGAACATCTAGGCTAGGATAGGGCACTCACCTGAGAGGTGGCAGATCCATGTTCTAAAACTTTGGCTTTATTATGTGGAGAGGGGACTTGACCTGGTCTCCCACATCCTTAGTGAATACCCTAACCACTGGCCAAAAGGTTCTGAGGGAGATTCGCCCACTGTGGAGTTAGGCGGCCTCTGAAAATGTCCACTGGACTGGGCCCTATTGTCAGAGGATCGCTTCCACGGCTCATGAATTGGAAGTAGAGATATGTACCTATTTCCATAAAAGGGGCGGGGCTTAGGACATACCACTCATCAGCATGCCACACTAGTTAGTTTACATGGTTCCCCACATAATCTGCGGGGATTTGGGGATCCCATTCTAAGGCAACCTTTTATAAGGGACTTGGTCACATAACTCAGACTTTGTGGATCGCACTGCTGTTTCTCTGATATTCTAGGTACACAAAAGTTAGAAATTTGCAACACTGAGTGTTACAATGCCTAAGTTCTTTGGTGGATTCCAGCCTAAAAACTCTATCAAGGATGAATGAGAAGTCACAGCAGACAAGAAAAAGATGGGTTTAGGTGTATAACATCAAACTTAAATGAAGTAGCTGAACATAAAACATTCAGATTTCCCAACAAGTCATAATCAAGTCCCATCATAATGTGGGAATCTTATCTCAGCCTCTTGCTCTGCATGGTTCTGTTCTAGGAAGGACATTTCATTCTCTGCTTTGATAATGTTGCATGTCCTCACTACAGTCATGCCAGATCCTCTGATATTTGTGGAAATAAACAAATACGTTATTCAATTGGCCCATCCCTAGCCAGCACCCTTTTACAATGTGTGTCCTGGGTGGATTCTCTTACATCTAACAAGAGATGAGTTGTGCTAGAAGGCTTTCCCACAGTCGGGGCACTCTTCCCTGTAGGTTCTCAGAGGTTTATTAAGGGCTGAGCTCTCACTGAATATTTCCCAAATTCAGGGCATTTAAAGAGTTCTTCCTGTGTGGATTCTCTGGTGGGCAACAAAGATTGACCTCCAACTGAGGCTTTTCCTGCACTTGGGAATTCATAGGGTCTCTCTCACCTTTGGGTTCTCTGATGTGATAGAACGTGTGATACCTGACAGAGCTTTTTTTTCTTGCACTGCGTCTGTAGGATTTCTCTCCTGTGTGGGTTCTCTGCTGTTCAGTAAGGCTTGAGCTCTGACTGAAGCTTTTCCCGCAGTTAGAGCAGTTATAGGGTTTCTGTGCTGCGTGAATTCTCTAAGGTGCAATAAGGTGTGGGCATTCACTGAAGCTTTTCTCTCAGTCAGAGCAGTTGAAAGGTTTCTCCCCTGTGTGGATTGTACAATGCCTGTTAAGATTTGAGCGCCGACTGAAGCTTTTCCCACAGTCACGGCAGTTAAAGGGCTTCTCTCCTGTGTGAGTTCTCTGATGTTCAATGAGGCTTGAGCTCCGACTGAACCTTTTCCCACAGCCATGGCAGTCATAGGGGTTCTCTCCTGTGTGGATTCTCTGGTTTTCAATTAGGTTTGAGTTCTGATGGAAGCTTTTCCCACAATCAGAGCAGTTGAAGGGTTTCTCTCCTGTGAGGATTCTCCTATGTCTCACAAGGTCTGAGCTCTGACTGAAGCTTTTCCTGCAGTCAGGGCTGTTATAGAGTGTCTTTCTTGTATGTAATCTCTGATGTTTAATAAGATATGAGTTCCGATTGAAGCTTTTCCCGCAGTCAGAGCAGTTATAAGGTTTCTGTCCTGTGTGAATACTCTGATGTGCAATAAGGTATGAGCGTTCCCTGAAGCTTTTCCTGCAGTCAGAGCAGTTAAAGAGTTTCTCTCCTGTGTGGATTGTATGATGCCTGTCAAGATTTGAGCGCTGACTGAAGCTTTTCCCACAGTCAAGACAGTTCATAGAATCATAGAATCATAGAATATCAGGGTTGGAAGGGACCTCAAGAGGTCATCTAGTCCAACCCCCTGCTCAAAGCAGGACCAATTCCCAACTAAATCATCCCAGCCAGGGCTTTGTCAAGCCGGGCCTTAAAAACCTCCAAGGAAGGAGACTCCACCACCTCCCTAGGTAACGCATTCCAGTGCTTCACCACCCTCCTAGTGAAATAGTGTTTCCTAATATCCAACCTGGACCTCCCCCACTGCAACTTGAGACCATTGCTTCTTGTTCTGTCATCTGCCACCACTGAGAACAGCCGAGCTCCATCCTCTTTGGAACCCCCCTTCAGGTAGTTGAAGGCTGCTATCAAATCCCCCCTCATTCTTCTCTTCTGCAGACTAAACAATCCCAGTTCCCTCAGCCTCTCCTCATAAGTCATGTGCTCCAGACCCCTAATCATTTTTGTTGCCCTCCGCTGGACTCTTTCCAATTTTTCCACATCCTTCTTGTAGTGTGGGGCCCAAAACTGGAGACAGTATTCCAGATGAGGCCTCACCAATGTCGAATAAAGGGCTTCTCTCCTGTGTGGGTTCTCTGATGTTCAATCAGATTTGAGCTCCGACTGAACTTTTTCCCACAGTCAGAGCAGTTGAAGCGTTTCTGTCCTGTGTGAATTCTCTGATGTTCAGTAAGACTTGCACTCCGACTGAAGCTTTTCCCGCAGTCAGAGCAGTTAAAGGGCTTTTCGCCTGTGTGAGTTCTTCTATGCCTAACAAGGTCTGAGCTCTGACTGAAGCTTTTCCCACAGTCAGGGCAGTTATAGGGTGTCTCTCTTGTGTGTAGTATCTGATGTTTAATAAGGTAGGAGTACCGACTGAAGCTTTTCCTGCAGTAAGAGCAGTTGAAGGGCTTCTCTCCTGTGTGGGTTCTCTGATGTTCAATAAGACTTGAGCGCCAACGAAAGATTTTCCCGCAGTCAGAGCAATTGAAGGGTTTCTCACCTGTGTGCATTCTCTGGTGTAAAATAAGGACCTGTCTCCACTGGAAGCTTTTCCCACAGTCACTGCAAGTGTAGAGTCCCTCTTGATGGGGGATTTTCTGTTGATCGGTTTCTTTGTTTCTTTTCACCCTTCTGCTCCTGTGAGTAGATTTACCACAGCTCTCACCTGGATGGTTTCCCTGCTGCCTTTCTGGCCTGCACTGACTCTCACAGGTTTCTCCCTGCTCAGGACTCTGGGAAACATGCCCTTCAGATCTTCCCAATAACATCCCACATGGTGCCACTTGCTCAGGACCTTCCTGCTGAAGACTCTCCTCATTGTTCTCACTCACTGTCCTCTCCCCTGTGAGACAGAGATATAATCCAGACAGGAGTCATTCTCTGTGCTGAGCTGAAAGGAAAACTCTGAAAGGGGAACAGGATAAGGGGGGCAAGACACCCAAATAACTGCTGGGGAGGTTGAAATAACATGAGCTGAATTCATCCTTCCTCAAAACCCTTCCCCAGAGGAAAGAAACCGCCCTCTTTCCACATCCTCTGACTGGAGCTGAAGACAGGCTGAAGGGTCAGATAGACTTGATGAAAATGCACAAGTGACATCTGCTATGAGGATACAGTAATTGGTTTCTGAGTCAGTTTAACTGATTCCTCACCTGTGTGGGTGTCGCTGATGATCTCCCTTTCCTCAGAATCCTGGAGATCTGGGATCCGCAGCTACTCCTCTCGCTCCACCCAGAAGTTCACATTAGGTTTGGAAATTGGAAATCCTGCTTGGGAAACAATTTATCAAGTGTTGATCTTATTCATTAAAGTCAGTGCTCTTACTACTTCCAGACTCAGGGTCTCAGTCACCCACCCAGAGAGGCTCCTTCTCCATCTTACAGAGACTGGACTATAGATCGTACAAGATCCCATGACACACTCATCTGAAGTAAAGGTGCATCACCTCTGCCTCGGGAATAGCCTAGCTTATTCTCCATCATGGCCCGTTACATTTCCCCATCCCAGGCCACAACAGAAACACATTACTTAAAATATGAGCTCTTGTGAGGGCTTGTAGGTCTGAAACCGAGGCCCACAGGCAGTACTGAGACTGCACCTGCCCCATGGCAGATCACTTAGGGCTTGAAGGGAAAGGACTTAGCAGAGCGCTAGCTCCCCAACGGCTCTGTCCAAAAGGCTCCTGACTGGGGGGCATGGCTAGCCCAAATCTTTGGCTCGGATGCACTACGTAAATCAGAAGGAGGCAGAGGAAGTTGTCTGAGCAACTAGGTGAATCCTTGGTTGGCTGCTTCAGACCCTGCCTACGTTCCTGACCGTGACCCCTTACTGCCTGTGCCTGGGTGGGCTTTCCAGCTGCCCACAATAGCTGCTGCTCCTGCGGCTGGCGATGGTGGCATTTGGGTCTGCTGCTCCTCTGAGAGTGTGTGGCTGTGACTGCAGCTGAGCTCCCTCTCTGCTGCCTTGGTTCTATTCTGACAGTAGCAGAAGCCTCTTTATGCTGTTTCCCAAACTTTCTCTTGTGGTGAGTCCTGCCTTCCACTTTGCTGCTCCTTTCCCTTGTTTGCTTTGTTTGATGTTTGTCCCTTGCACTCTTGGGGAGCATGGCTAGCCCAATTCTTTGGCTCAGATGCATTACGTAAACCAGAAGGAGGCAGAGGAAGTTGTCTGAGTTTTTGTTTACTTAGTCCCTGCCTTTCCCTTTCACTTAAGAGCCCCCAGGAGGGGAAGATTCCTGATGAACTCCCTTGGCTTCTGTTTGTTTTTCTCCAGTTGGGCTTGATTTTCCCTCCCAGAAGGGAGAGGGACTACCATGTTGCCCTACCACCATCCCTCCCCTTCTTTTCGGTCACCACAAATGCAGGTGCCCAATCCCTGCTTGATGAGTCTTCTCTCCCAGAGGCTGCAACTGGTGGAGGGAGATTGGTGAGGCAAGGGAAGGGACAGAGGGTTTCCTGGCCACCATTTTTGTCACATCTCTGAATAGTCCCTTCAATAGGTGCGACCACTAGTTATCCCTGGATGGTAATGGCTCCTCCTCTTTGCAGGGCAAATGCAAGCCCCCTGCCAAGAAGAAGGCTGCTGGGTGAATTTTCCTCTCCTTCTGTAAGGCCTCTGCCCACCAGCAGGGCCCACTCCCAGGCCTCCAGGGCATATGCTTAAGTGCCTGCAATTAATTCAACATCTACTACATCAAAGCCAACTGCCTCTGCTAATTCTACCTATGGCATCTGCTCCTTCCAGGCCTAACCAGGAGGCAAGGGGATCATTACCTCCTGTGGTGGCTGCCTTGCTCCACGTGTCATTATATGTGCAGGCTTTGGTGGCATTCATTGGACCTTCCCTTCCCCCTCCCTCTAGAGCCCCTTCCTCCTGCATCAAGGCACATGCACCATGTGGTTTAGAAGGTGGTGCATTGGGGCTTGATGGAGGTTGATGTGGATTTTGGAGAGGATTTGTCCCTCCCTGGTAGTCAGAGTGGGAATGACACTGGGTGCCTGACTGAGACAGACCAGGAGTCTGCAGGCTCCATTAAGTCCATGGACTTCTCGGGACCCATTTTCTCATGGGCCAAATTTTGCTGGTTCCTGGAGCCTATGTGTGGCACTGGGAGAGGGGGCAGCTTGCTCTCGGTCTGAGGAGACTTTTCCATCTTATCCTCTACTCTGAGGGTATGTCTACACTACGACATTAGATCGAATTAATAGAAGCCGGTTTTATAGAAATCGGTTGTATACAGCCGATTGTGTGTGTCCCCACATAAAATGCTCTAAGTGCATTAGTTCGGCGGACCGCGTCCACAGTACCGAGGCTAGCGTCGACTTCCGGCGCATTGCACTATGGGTAGCTATCCCACAGTTCCCGCAGTCTCCGCCGCCCATTGGAATTATGGGTTGAGAGCCCAATGCCCGGATGATGCAAAACAGTGCCGCGGGGGGTTCTGGGTACATGTCGTCAGGTCCCTCCCCCTGCAGCAACGGCAGACAATAGATTCGCGCCTTTTTACCTGGGTTACCTGTGCAGACAACATACCACGGCAAGCATGGAGCCCGCTCAGCTCAGCTCACCGTCACCATATGTCATCTAGGTGCCGGCAGACGTGGGACTGCATTGCTACACAGCAGCAGCAGCTAACTGCCTTTTGGCGGTAGACGGTGCAGCATGACTGGTAGCCTTCATTGGCGATCTGGGTGCGGGCAGCTGTGGGGCTGGCAGCCGTAGGGCTGCATTGCACCAGCCCCTTGCCTTTTGGTAGAAGATGGTATATTATGACTGGTATCCGTCGTCGTCGTACTGCAGTGGCTGTCGATCACGGGCACCCGGGCAGACAATGATGGTTATCAGTTGTAGTATGCTATTTTCTGCCATGCGCCCTGTTGGATCATTGCACGTTAGCAGAGTCGTAGTATGCTATTTTCTGCCAAGTGCCCAGTATTGTCTGCTAAGCACCCAGAAGAGGCCGATGGCAATCTGGGTGCTGGCAGACATGGGGCTGGCAGACGTGGGGCTAGATTGCTACACAGCAGCAACCCCTTGCCTTTTGGGCAGTAGATAGCATATTACGATTGGTATCCATCATTGTCATATTGCAGTGGGTATCAGATCGTGCAATAGACCTGAAGGCTTACTGCCAAGCGCCCAGTATTTGCTGCCAAGCACCCAGAAAATGCCAAGGGCTATCAGTCATGCTGCACCGTCGTCTTAAGATGTAAAAAATAGATTTATTCTGTATTCATTTGCTTCCCCCCTCCCTCCCTCCTGTTAAACCCTGGCTTTTGAGTTCAATCTTTGGGTAGGGGGGCATTCTGTGTGACAGTTGTTTGTGTCCTTAATTTTCACGCGGCACTGCTGTGTGTCCCTGTTATGGCCTCTGTCCTTCATGGCCCTGGAGACTTTTTCTAATATTTTGCCATTTCGTTTACTGCTTCGGAGTTCAGCCAGCACTGATTCATCTCCCCATATGGCGAGCAGATCCTGAACCTCCCGTTCTGTCCATGCTGGAGCTCTTTTGCGATCCTGGGACTCCATCACGGCTACCTGTGCTGATGAGCGACCTGTGCTCTCCACGCTGAGCAAACAGGAAATGAAATTCAAACGTTCGCGGGGCTTTTCCTGTCTACCTGGCCAGTGCATCTGAGTTGAGAGTGCTGTCCAGAGCGGTCACAGTGAAGCACTGTGGGATAGCTCCCGGAGGCCAATAACGTCGAATTCCGTCCACACACACCCAATTCCGACCCCCTAAGGCCGATTTTATCGCTAATCCCCTCGTCGGAGGTGGTGTTAAGAAACCGGTTTAAAGGGCCCTTTAAGTCGAAAGAAAGGGCTTCGTCGTGTGAACGTGTCCAGGCTTAATTCGATTTAACGCGGCTAAAGTCGACCTAAACTCGTAGTGTAGACCAGGCCTGAGAGGGCCTTGTTATGGGAGGGAAAAGGAGCAGCATTCTAAACAGCACCTGTGGAGCATGGGTTGCTGTGTGGTGCTGCTGGTGCATGGGACACCTCTGTCTGTGAGGATCTTCAACACCCTCCTGCACTGAGGATACCATCTTTGCCTCACTGAACATCCATGGTTGTAGGGTGAGTCTCTGCAGGTGCTAGGTCCTCTCCTACCTTGAAGCAGGGCGGTACTCTGTAATTTTCCTGAAGGACACACACACATCCAGCTGTCAGCTGTAGAGGAGGAACAGGATGTATTCTAGCCACCTCATGGCATCATCAGGTGGGGTGATCAGGAGCGGCACCAGGGTTTTTGCCGCCCTAGGCGGCAACACTGCTCCTCAGAGCATTCAGCGGCGGGGGTCCTTCCACTCCGCGTCTTCAGGGTGCTTCGGCGGTGGGTCCCGGAGCGAGTGAAGGACCCACCACCAAAGTGCCCCGAAGACGCAGAGCGGAAGGACCCCCGCCACCGAATTGCCGCCAAGGACGGCAAAATGCTGCCCCCCAAATCCTGCC